CGTCGCTTGTCACAGCTCCCACCAACCTAGTGGTTTGAAAGCATGCAAATGCGAGTAGATAAATAGGGACCACCTCGGTGGGAAGGTAACGGCGTTCCATGTCTAAGTCGCACTGGCCGTGTGACCACAGAAGATTGTCTTCGGAGAAATGCAGGCTCTATGGCTTGGAAACGGGGATGAGCACCGCCCCCTAAAGTAGAACACGACTGGACAAAAAATTGTCAAGGGGAACCTTCATATGTGGTGAAAATGCAAAATAAGTACAAAGATTTTGGAAACAAATCTTTAAAGAACTAAATGACATATGTGAAAAAGATATAGAATTTAATCCTGAAGAAGCTCTGTTATCAATATTTGGGAATGTGGAATATGCTAAAATGACTAGAGGATTGATTACCACTTTATTAACAGCAGCCAGATTAATAATAGCCGAGAACTGGAAATCAAAATCTGAATTTCAAATGGAAGAATAGTATAATGAAATTTATTTATTTTTATTTATTTATTTATTGTATTTATACCCTGCCTATCTAGTCATTTTGACCACTCTAGGCGGCTAGAGTGGAACATTGCTATAAATGATAAGTTAAAGGTTAAGAAAGGAGAGGTGAAAAAGAATAATTTCTATGATATATTGGGGCAGATTTCTTGAATATGTGCTAACAAGAGGAAAAGGGAAAGCTTCAAATCAAGAATCAATGTAGTTCTGGAGAAGAGGACAATAAAGGAAGAAGAAGAATAAAGATAGAGGAAGAAGAGGATTACTGCAAGAGGTCCCGACTATGGTGGTGGGGAGTATTTTGGTTTATGTATTTTATGTTTATGTTTTAGTTTAAGAAAAAAAAATTAAAAAAAGAGATCCCGCCCACCAAACTTTTACTGATATTTAAGTTTCTTTATGCTTAGCATACCTACATACACAAACGTCTGATCTTTCTTATTATGAACAGGGGACATTCCAGGTCATATTCTTGGACCACTTATCCGTTCTTATACTTTAGCCAAACTTCGATAGCTCTAGTACAAGGAACTGCATTCGTACAGGATTTAACAAAAACACAGTCAGTTCCATTTTAACTGATACTATGGTGCACAAGTGGGTAAATTCCATTTTACCTATACTTTTCAACTTAATTCTTAATTATCCATTCCTGCACATTATCTGCCCTTCATGCTTCTTAATGCCTGGCAAGTAAACCACCAAAAACAAGTACCATGTGAAGGTGACAGAGGTCAGAAAATAACAATTTTTATCTCATAACTGACATTGGGCATTGCCCATTTGGTAAAAGGCACAAGAAGGGACCCAAATCTTTGAGAATATGGTACAAGAGATAAAATTATGGCATCAGTTTGTACAGTTATAGTTTTAAAAAGTTGTCAGAATGAAAAAGTCCCATTTGAATCAATGGAACTTATGGAAGAGTTGATTCACCAAAATCTTTAAAAGTGGCCCTACTCTAGTGCAACTTACTATGCTAACAATAGGATTCCAGCCACTGTACAACAAACATATTAAAAAGCAATTAATAAACTAAGGCCCGAGTCCAAAAACTGGGTCCAACTGAGTAGCCTTTCTCAATCAGCTGTAGATTGGTAGAATCAGTTTTTTATAACAGATGTTTGTTCAATGGGCCAACTCATTACAGTGGACCCTCGACTTACAGACGGCTCGACTTACAGACTTTTCGAGTTACAACCTTCTCTGGCTGCAAAATTTAGATTCGACTTGCAGCCGGAGAATCGACCTACAGACCAGAAAAAAACCAAAATGGAACAAAAATAAAATAAAAACTGCCAGTTGTGGGATTAATCAGTTTTCAATGCATTGTAGGTCAATGGAGATTCGACCTACAGACTTTTCGACTTACAGCCACCGTTCCAATACGGATTAATTCCTTAAGTAGAGGGTCCACTGTATTTGTATTTCCATACAGACAACTAGGGGCAATACTAGGGACAGAAGGAGAGGCAAGGTGGCAATATCTCCAGGAATAATCTCAGAGAAAAACATTTAAACAAGTTTACTGTTTATCTGATGATAAAAACACATTATGTGATTTATAATTTTATTTATTTATTTATTTATTATTTTAATTTAAAGATTCTTCTTACCTTATCAGCTCTCAGCTTTCTGAGAAATGATGGATTGTCATATCCTTTTGCCTGCCTTGCCTCCTGTAGATGATTTATCATCCAAACGTTTTTTCTTTGTTTTGCTAAATCAAGTGGTGATTCACCCTATCAGAAGAATAAAAGGAAAACAAATTCAGAAAAATGTCTCTTTTTAAAAAGAACTGTAAGTTAATATACTGAGCTACTTAAATGTTGGAAATATACTAGGTTATTTTGGTTGGTAATTTAAGCTGCAGACAGAAATATTTTCTTCTAATCTTTACTCATCAGATAAACAGTTGGCTATTTTTGAATCAGAAAAAAGTTTATTTATTTAAAATATTTATTCCCGATTTTTTCCTGACAAGAACCCAAGGCAGTTTATAATATTAAATATTAAGTATTAAATGGTATTACATGCTAATTACATGTTCATATCTAACAAGAAGCAGAGGCAATGCAGAAGAAAGACAATGAATATCTATGCATGGATTTGCCCCCCCCATACATATTTGTTATGTAAGCATCAATGTTCAGACATTCAGCCTATAACTGTGGTAGGATGCAAATTAAGGCATAACTAGATTAACAGACATGTGCTTATAACCTCAATAATACACACCATCGAGTCAATTCTGATTTATGACAATCTTTTCCAGGGATTTCTGAACAGAGAAAGTGATTTATCATTCCCTTCTTCTGGGGGAGGGGCTGCCACAGAATTGTGTAGAATGCCCCAAACCATACAGGCTGGTTCTTTCCCCTAAGCACAGTGGGAAATCCTGACCCTTATCTTAGCTGCCAGGCACTCCAGTTCACCCTTAGATGTCCTGAAAAACCAAGACTGTATTGCTCCACACTGCTCCCGATCAGATCTGGAATTTGAGTCACGGCAACTGGACTTATTTCTTGTTAGGTTCAAATGTTTCACTAATCATCCAAGAAGCTTCTTCAGTCTGAGGAAAGTTGGCAGGAGATCCCTGATATATCCTCCACATTGGTTTCATTTCCCCCAGGTCTGAGACTCTTTAGAAGTCCTTTGTCCTTCTAACAAACCTATTCACACCAGGGAGAAGTGAATCCAAGGTGGAGGATATATCAGGGATCTCCTACCAACTCTCCTCAGACTAAAGAAGCTACCTGGATGAGTAGCAAAATGTTTCAACCCAATAAGAAAGAAGTCCAGTTGCCATGACTCAACTTTCAGATAACCTAACCTGGATGACTAAGAATCTTCCCAGATATATTGCTCCCTATCAAATGTTTGCATTTTTATTTAACACTTATGTAAGTGCATAAGTTGGTAGTGCACCACACATCTAGATTTTGTCATGCTTTATATACTTCGGCTCTACAGTATAAAGATCACACATTTATATAATGTCTTTTGTAAACAAGATTTACACAAAGATTAAATTTAGCAAAAGAACATCAGATGGGCACACAGAAGGATAGTGGAATCCCAGTTTTCTATAGCACCTACAGATTATTGAGAAAGACAACATGTCTTTGCTGTTATCTGTTGTGAAAAAGTGTTGCTGTTATCTGTGTGAAAAAATGAGTGACAAGAAATTTTACATAATTCTATAATATAATACAGTACAACTACTATAATCCTAAAACTTTTTTTTTCAGAGGAACAGATAACATAGTAATTACTGGTACTTGGCTGACAATTTGTTATATTTAGTGTCATACTGGGAATAGCTTTAGTGACCTAAAAATGAAAACGATCATTAAAAAACGATTAAAAAACACTAAAATGACCAAGTAACATGGGGCAGCTGGTTTTAATCTAAGAGTATCAAAGAGGTTTCCAATGGACAGAGACAGCTCTTTTACACCTCAAGAAACAAAGAAGCACAGAGGAGGCAAAAGACAACCAACTGAAGGTACCTCCAGCTCCAGTTTTGCACTCCTCCTCTCTTCTACTGAAGGGAACTCCCCTCCTAAATAAAGCATTCATGGAGGCTTGAAAAATGGCTGTCCTCCATCGTTCGGGCCCCCGCCTAAAAAAAAATGAGACAGGTACCAGAAATTGAAATGTTACCCAGTAAAGGCAAACAGCCTTTGAGACAGAGGAGAAAGTATAAAAATTACCCATTTGAATCCCCACATCAGTAGAAAGTCTAGATACCTAATCAAAATTAGGCATCTAATTTCCACTCATGGGATTTGCATACCAAAATCCAATATATAACTTAAAAATCTTGGCCAGCAAATCATCATTTGGGAATTCACAGCAGTAAAAACCAGGCAACAGGACTTTCTGGTTCCTAAGGGGAGTTTCCTTCCACTTTAACTATAAGCTGAGAAAGCTTAGCTTTCTGAACTGAACAGTACAGGATCAAAAGATACTGGGGTATTTTTTCTTCCCATATGGAAATCAAGAAGCAAAGGAAAAAATTACAGGCTAATTAGAATAAAACTCTTATTAGCTAATATATCTTTCTTTGTTCTTATTGTTCCAGTGGGAGAACAGCTTTCAAAATTCAATACACTCTGATGTTCTTGTCTTTTAACGGTTATTTGCAAGTTACCTGTGGACAACCATCCATGCAAGAGGGGAAAAAAAAACCACTAGCGACTACTGTGTCCAACTGTTCCTTGTACCTAAAATCATTATGGTACATGTGGATTTAAAAAGAAGCAAAATGAAAGCCACTATTTAAAAACAAATTAAGAACAAATTTTAAAGCTGACTTGAAATAACAGAGCTAGATGTATTAATACAGTTTCAATCTTCAGCTAGAAGCTCAATGGGAATAAAACCAGCACTATTTCTTTGGGGAAGAAATTCTACGATTGAGGTGCTGCTACAAAGAAAGCCCCCCCCCCCAAAAGTGTTACAGTTCTTGAAAAACAGAAGTTTAAAGTAAATGTGGTTTGTTTTCCATTCTAATGCATATTATCAGTATTCAAGGAAAAACACCATGCTTTAAATATAAATAATACTGGATTTTATACTAGAGCAAAACCTCAGGAACAGCTGTTTACTTACCGTATTTGCCGGCGTATAAGACGACTGGGCGTATAAGACAACCCCCCAACATTTCCACTCAGAATATAGTTTGTTATATACTGACCATATAAGACTACCCCCTCTTCCACACACCTTTCACACACCAAATAAAAGGTGCTATTCATTGTCACCATTGTACGGCTGAAGCATGACCACAGCGCCTCCGCCCCACCCCTGCATCTCCCTGTGACCAGCACTAGTGCGCAAGTGCGCATGTGTGAGCTCTGCATAGACAAGGGGTGGGCTGGAGCATTGCTGCTTCCCGCCGAGCAGAACGGGCTGGTCACGTCGAAAGGGCTGGCACCCCTGTCTTGCTGCTGATGCTCGCCGTGGCCGCGCTGGATACCGCGCGATACTGGACGGTATGTAGAATGAGGTGGGCAGGCATCGGGAGGCTACTATGGGCACCGGGCGAGCATCGGAAGGCCACTATGGGCAGTTATGTCTATCCCAACTGAAGTGCACCCGGGATATAAGACGACCCCCCGCACTTGGAGGCATGTTTTTCAGGGCAAAAAAGTAGTCTTATATGCCAGCAAATACAGTATATATTTTATTTGCATTTTTCACACAGCAGTGCAAATGCATTTACTTCCATGTAATACATTTACATCTATCATGCTTAGAATCCTATAGTTCTTATTCCTCCTTGAATAGAATGGCCAATATGAAAAGAAAGTATTTCCATGTCGTAAGTTAGTTTTGATCAGATTAACCCTTGTATTAGGATGGGCAAGGAGGTGTTTCTCCTCATTGCCCCAATTACAAAGTGCAGCAAAGTACTGCCTTTCCAAAATCAAGTTTAAGTTCCTGAAATGATGCCACACTTGCCACCCATTCACTTTCATTTTCATAGGTTCCCACTATCTTTTCACTTTTTTCTAGGATTAATATTTGTATTAGAAAAAATGCCACAGGCAAGGTTCCAGTAAAAATATATGATTCTGGAAACTGAGGACATGATTCATTATAAAGAGTATCATTCTTTTCAAAAAGCAAGGGGGGAATCTTAAAAGGCTTTAGAAAATAGTAGTCTTTATGAATACTGTTTTAATGTCCAGCTGCAGAGCCAAAAATAAAGCAACACTTTACATGGTTAGCAAAAAAATGTAATTTTTCATCTCATATACTACACCATAGTCCACGTAGTACAATCTGTTACCCCATTACAACCATCTCTAGAAGATTCTTCTTATAAACTATCACCTCAGTTTTGTATTTCTATCTTTTGAAAAAGAGAACGGGAACATATTACCCATCCAGAGATTATATGACTGTCCAAAAGTTTAAGAGATATTGATGAGAAAGTGACAACCATGTAAGCAGAATAAGGTGCCAAAGAACACCATTATCACCAACTATTTTATGAGCCTATGCAAATATTAAGATCATCAGGAGAAGTCTTTCTCTTGGCCCACCACTCTCCCAGGCATGTTTGTCAGGGATGTGGGAAAGGGCCTTCTCTGTTGCTGTTCCAAGACTCTGGAACTTCCTCCGACAGGATTTCTTTTAAATGTCTAGTTGACCAAGGGGATTTTTATTTTATTCTGTTGTTTTATTTTTGTTTTTAATATTGCTCTTATTATGAATTTTAATATGATATCTGTATGTGCTTTTTCAATATTGTAATAATTTATTATTGAGCTTTTACCTTCCTTCTTTTAATACTGTAAGCCACCTTGGATCCTTTAGGAGAAAGACAGCATATAAATAAAATAAATAACAAATACTACATATTTCTGTTATACACTAGTCCAGGTGATCAGGCTAATATCCAGACTAAAAAACTAAGTACAACTATTTGATTTCTCCAGACAAGTGTATCTTTCTTGAACAAAGACATGAACACAAACATGTTTGCCTCCAACACAAGACACTAAGAGATAACATTATGTACTGAAATTCCTATACCTCCATCCAGGAAGTATAACAAAGTAGTTACCTGACAAAATATACCTACTTTGACTGCATAGATCATAAAAGTCAATCAAGTGTTCTGTAAGATTTGAAATAATGAGTAATGAAAGTTAAAGAGGAAAATACAAGAGCAATGTGACAACTGAACATTGATTGAGAAAATAAATTATTACAAAAGAATTAGTGAAATTTAATGTTTACTGTGAAAAAATCAAAATTGTAAATACCTTCTATATCTCAATCGATATGGAGATTGCATCCAAAAAAATCCGAAGATGACTAAGATTTGGAAGGGCATCTATGAAGGAACTATAAAATTGTTGGAGGAGAGCTTCATGGACATCAGGAACTGCCGGGGGCAGGGGAGCGTATTCTAGATAGAGCTCCTGGCTGCAGAGTTGGAGCACTTGCACAGCTGGGGCAGGAGTTTGGATTTCCACTGTGTCTCTCACAAGACGGGTCAGTTGAGGTCAGCTATGATATGTAGCTAAGGAAGTTTTGTGCCCTGGGCAAGCTATATAGTTCCAAAATGCAACAAGAAGAGACTAGTAAACCACTTCTGGTTTAAACTCTGAAAAGGAATGAAATTCTGTGGCAACAAAATTCAGATCTTGATGCTGTACTTTTTAAATAGCCTAAAGAAATAAGTAAGCAACTAGTTTGTCTGGCAATTCTCTGAAGAGATACAATGGTGCATTTTACTGCTGTACTTTTACCACATCTCCCTTTTTTATGATCCAGAGGAAGAGCTGCATGGAGAAACAAGAAACCCTTCTGAGCTATTTCATAGTGTGAAAAGAGTCTCTGTTGCCATCTGAAACGGTTCTAGGGATGGGAAGGGAAACAAACAACATAAAGGTTTTATGATGCATAAGATTCCTATTCCTAAGCAGGACAGGAGGGATGAAGCTATGTGGAAACATGGCCAGTCTTGACTGACTGTCAGTCATGTCCACCTTTATTTTATAAGCAATGACAAAACAGACAGACTTTAGAACAGCCCTGTGTTCTTGAGAGATGTTGATATTTTCTGTAAGGAAATGAAAGGAAACTAGGAATTGTAGTCATTCAAAAATGGAGTCTGTTAGGTTCTGTGTAAGACAAATTTAAAAATAGGTGTTCTCATGAGGTTGTTGTGCAGAGTTGTTTGTCAGGCACACAGATAAGGAAGCAAGGTTGAGCAGTCCAGAAGAGGCCCAAAATAAGATGAAACAACAGATCGCTAAATTGAAGAAGATAAGCCATCTGGGGCCTGGATCTTCTCATGAGAAATTTGGGTGGTGATCTGAGTTACACCCAGTTGGACAATTGGTTGATAGCTGGAAAGTGTAATGAGGAAGGTGGTCCGAAAGACATGTAGAAAATGGAGGGGTTGTGTATGTGTTTGAGGTTTGTTCATGTTGGAAATGCAGTGGAATGTAAGACAGAGGGAGTTGTTTTTCTTTTAGAAGAAGGGGTGAGGAATAGCCCAGCTTCTAGATGCCAAAATGTAGAGCAAGAGGGAACAAAGATGATCACTTAGCTTTTTATTATTTTATTTAGAAATAGCAGACTTATTTAATCACAATAACTGATGGATATGCTACAATGCTTTATGCTTATTAAGCTACAACTGTATTCTAATGACTCTACTTTATTTTCTTAATAAAATAAAATTTTCAAACAGGGGACTGGTCTCATGAAACAACAGGGTAGATCTAAATCCAGTGTGGATTTGAGAAGGTCAATAGTTGCTACTGTAAATTGAGAAGTCCTATTTTGCAAGGCTGGTATGTATTCTAAGAAAACACATACAGTGGTGCCTTGCATTACGACGTTAATTCGTTCCAGCGAAATCGCTGTAGAACGAAAACGTCGTAATGTGAAAATAAAAAGCCAATTGAAACGCATTGAATCCCCTTCAATGCATTCCAATGGGCTGGAAACTCACTGTCCAGTGAAGATCCTCCATAGGGCGGCCATCTTCGGTGGCTGTCTTGCGAGGAATCCATCCCAGAAAACAGCGGGGAGCCATTTCATTTACCTGGTAGCCATTTTGAAACCGCCGATCAGCTGGAGGAAAATCGTCGTTTTGCAAGGATCGGTTCCCGAAGCAGGGAACCGATCCTCGCAAAGCGAAAAAAAACCCATTCAGACCATCATTTTGCGATCGCAATTGTGATCGCAAAAAGATCGTCGTAATATGGTTTCGTCGTAATGCGGGGCAATCGTAAAGTGAGGCACCACTGTAGCCTATGGTTTATTGCTTAAGAAGCAATTAAAAGGTTATCTAAGATTCAGGCTTGTCTATGGGGCTTATGCTACACTTCTGAGGCCTAAAGGACTTACCTCAGACAATAAAGGTGGTAGCTCTTTGCCCAGAGGGACTCCCTGACCTCGATCATTGTCTCTTTAGGGAGAAGGGATAGTTACATTTTCTATCAACTCATAGGTATTATAAGGAACAAACAGGATAGCAGGAGCAATTTACAACAAACACATGATTTATTTACTAATGCTCACTCTATCCTAGCTCTGTTAAGGAAAAGGTGAACCAAGAAAAAAAAAGGAGTCAGACTTTATGAAAGAGTACATGGCATTTAGGGAACCACAATGTTTACTAACAAGAATTGGAAGTTAATAATCATGAACATCTGGACACATCACTTCTACCATACTGGCCAAAAAAGTAGAAATGGGCATCCTTTTGTTGCAATTAGGATGAATGGCTGCTTCCAATAGTTATGTGCTTAAATCCTTACTCAACATCATACTAACATTACAAATGAGTGCTTTCAGCAAGCTATCTGACCATCCGTGATTATTTTCTGTTCCTCTGTGAACAAACCACAGTTCAGGAGATTAAATAGAAAAGGTTTTTTTTCTCCTCCTAAAATTCTCATCTGTCAAGATATAATACACCTGCTTGCATAAATCTTCCCTGTCCATTAAATTATAATAATTTGTTTACTTACATTGTGTATATTTTTACCCTGTTATCTTGTTACCTTATAGCTTTTTATAAAATACATTATGTCTGCAGAAAAGTACCATAACCAACTGCTACTTGTCATTAACAGAGTCGAATACAGAGATGCTTCAGACTGGACTAGCTATCTTCAGATGACTCTATGAATATTTCATTTTATAAAATATGGATGATAAAAAGGCAGTAGAATTTTTGGGTAAATATTCTTTTTCATTGCAGAATTTCACATTCTTTAAAGATTCATTATATAATTAAGACAGCAAATAATTTCAAGAACTGAGAGGCTTCACTATGCTGGGAAAGCAGGCGGTTAATTGGAAGCTAAGCTGGTACAATTCAGAAGTCAAAGCAGCTCATACAACAAAAGCAGAGCAAATACTAAAAAAATGACTGTAGGAAAAGATATGAGGATAATGTCTATGGTGCTCTGAAAGAGAAAATAGAATAGTTAACATTGATTTAGAAAAAGAGGGGCAGTGGATGAAGAACTGCTAAATAGCTCATTGGTTTAGTTATCTGGAGCCAGAATTTGGGAGTTCAATTCCCCAGTGGGCCTCCTTGACAGGGACTGAACTTGTTGATCCATAGAGATCCTTCCCGCTTCAAAGTTCTAAGATTATCTATCTAAGACAGTGCAAAGGGGGGAAAATCTCTCACACAGTCAACACACTGGAACACAGCATCTCATATTGATGAGAAGTAAAACAAACATACATTTACCTTGATATTTTGCGCATCAACATTAGCCCCTGCTTCTAAAAGAAGACTAATCACTGTAGTATTTCCTGCTAGTACTGCCCAGTGTAGTGCTGTGTTCTTATGATATTTGTCTCCCAGATTCACTGAAACATTAAATGTAAGCAGCAAACGAGTAGGGTCCACACTGGAAAATAAAGGAATAGCCTATATAAACATTGGTTAACAACTATGTTCCTATTAATCCCAGGGGCCAATATGTAGTCCTCCCAGATTTCACATTGCAAATTCCATCAACTCTCACCATTGGCTATGCTGGCTATGACTTATAAGATTTTAAGTTCAACAATATTTCAAGGGCCACATGGCCCAGATCCCTGCCTTAGGGATTTTTCATTCTATACAGAGATTTCTTTCTATGCTATTAAGAGCACTAATGAACAGGCTCTTCTTCCACTGAACTGCTTCACTCTATAAAATGCTCTATGAAAGAAGCACTAACTTTCCCTTTTATTCTGTGAGGGCAGATGTTCTACAGGGAGTATGAATTTCCATAAGTCTTTTTTAAAGAAAAAGGTGATTAGTGATTTTAATACAAGACTAGATATTTGATCAGTACCACATGAATTAATATTCCTCTTTCTCTTTATCCCAGGCACCCAAGGGCAATTTCAGCATGAAATAACAAGAAAGGTAGGCTACCAAGATATTAACACAGAGTTGGAGAGGATAGCATGCATTTATATCTGTCAATCATTTTCTTTAGAAAACAGTATCAGTCTAAAATGTCTTGTCAAATGTTACTTTTTATACAACACTGATAATTGTCCAACTTAAAGAACAGATAGCTGATTTAATGCCACAAGACAGTTGTAACTGTTTTTGGTCCCAATGTAACATTCCTGTGATGATAAATGCTTTTTTTTCTCTGAAGACTTTTACTATAAACAGAATCATTAACTAAGGTATGCACTTATTTTTATACAATTTACATTCTACTTGATTATGACAAAAAGATTAAGGTAGGTCTAATTTTAGTGAAGAGATTACCTGTGTGTTCTGTAAGCTGCCCACATTAAAGGAGTCATTCCATTTTGATCCATCATATCAACATCCTGATGAAAAGAGGAGCATTAATCATAAATGTACATTGAAACTGAATAATGAATACAGAGGAACAAGCTTCCAGGTGTCTAGTCTGAAAAGGTAAAGTCACTGAGTATTAGTACAGTGATGCAAAATACTGTATAAGGTTTTCTCATTGCAAAATGCACAGTATGCCACTTTGTATGACTATTACCGTGTTTCTCCGATAATAAGACACTGTCTTATTATCTTTTGGGGGAAAGAAAAGGGCAGAGGGCTTATTTTCGGGGGAGGGCTTATTTTAATGACCCGTCATTAAAATAAGCCCTCCCCCAAAAATGCGATCTGAAGAGAAACCAGAGCATTTTCCCCCGAAAGCTGGTGACAGCCGCACCAGCAGCAGCGGCGTTGGCGGCGGCGGCTACTTGGGCTCGGCCAGGGAGGAGACGGAGGCTGGGGAAAGGCAGGGGCTGAGAAGAACTGGGCTTCTCCTTCCTGCTTTCCTGCTTGGCTCCTCTCGCTTTCTGGCTCTCTGCGAAGCCCTCACTGCTGGGGAAGCGAAACGAGGAGGAAGGGGAGCCAAAAAGGCGGGCTTTGCTGGGAAGGGGGAAAACACAGCGAGCGAGCGTGCTCGCTCGGCTTGCAGGCGATGCTCCTCGCTTTGCTGCCTTGGTCGCCTCCTCCCCTCCGCCTTGAAGCTTTTGTTCTCCTCCTCTCTGGTCCGGGGGCAGGAGCGCCCGCGCGGCGCCCGCAGGGCTCGTGCCTCTCTCTCCCTCACGCGCCGGGCAGGGGAGTTCCAGGCGGAGGAGGAGCTTGCGCGGCTGTTGGCTCCCGGGATCCCGTTCGGCGCGCCCTGAGACGAAAGCACTGCCATGAAGGGCGAAGCTCTGCTTTCTCCCTACTGCATTCTGCTCTGCTGAAGGGATGTTTTTTCGCGCCCTCGGTAAGCTTACCCAGGGTGCGAGTAGGGTAATAGGGCTTATTTTCGGGGGAGGGCTTACTTTAGAGGAATCCTACAAATTAAGGGGAGTGCTTACTTTCGGGATAGGTCTTATTATCGGAGAAACACGGTATATAAGATCGGATATAGTAGTATATTCTAGAGCAGCATCTGCTGTTACAACTCTGCCACTTTTGCTCAAAGTAAAATACAGTGGTGCCTCGCACGACAAATGCCTCGCAGGGCAAAAAACTTGCAACAAAAATGGTTTTGGCAATGGGGTTGATTACTCGCAAGATGAATGTTCCTATGGCCGTGCTTCGCAAGATGAATGTTTTCCTTTTTTTTTGTTCCTGCCTCAAGTTTGCTCATTTTTAAATGTTTTTCTATGATGTTTAAAAAGTTAAAGTTTTTTGATTAAAATTTTTAAAATCAGCTGCACAGTATGTATAGCTTTAAAGAGCACTTAATAAACCCTTTGTAAACCAAATGTGACTTTGTTCTGACTTTTTTTGCCCATTAATTAGATTTCAATGCATTCCTATGGGAAAACGTGTTTCGCAAGAGGAATTTTTCACAAGACAACATTAACCGCGGAAAGAATTAAATTCATCTTGTGAGGCACCACTGTATGTGACTCTTCTAACCAGTATGAGAAAAATAAAGTTTGAGTGAAAATGGAATAAACGTTTTTGCATAGTAATCCACAACTAGAGTAGGCCCATTTGAATCAACAGAACTTAAAGAAAAACCGACTCACCAAAAAACTACAAATTCAGTGGGCCTACTCTTAATATGCCAAGCAACAGGATTTCAGCCATTGTATCATAAGGCCTATGCAAATGTTGTTGTTATATGCTGTCAAGTGACTTCTGAGTTAAGGTGAACTTATTAATTAATGAGAGATCGCCAAAATGTCCTGTCCTCAACAACCTTGCTCAGCTCCTGTAAACTCAAGCCTCTGGGTTCCTTTAGGGGGACAATTCAAATTGTTTTTGGTCTTCCTCTTTTCCTGCTGCCTTTCCCAGTATCATTGGCTTTTCCAAAGAATCCTGCTGGCTAAGCTTCAAAATCTGTTCTTCCCTTCTGAAGCATCAAATTCTCATTGCCATAACATAATGTTAATTGTTACACTGGCACTGCTACTGACCAAGGGTAAACCTGGGACAAAATATATTTCAAATCCTGTTTTGGTATGCTTGGTGATCCCTGCTGATTTAATGGGTCTATTCCAGTGTGACCTACTAAGCTAAGCAACATAATTTCAATCAATCTTACACATGCTAGACTTCATTTTATGAAGCAGGTTACTTGAAGTAAGAGGAAATATAAGCAGCAGGTACTGTTATTTATGTTCACAGAACATGGCCTTCTGTGAACATAAACACTCCTTTTCTTCAAGAAATATATTCAGATCCTATCAAAGTTCCTAGAAGGAACGTGAAGAGGGGACTTTCAATGCCCTTCTACCCTCGGAGCAATCCTGAATGTGGGATGTGGCAATGGAGGCAGCACACCTCTCTCTAGAATTGCTGGATAGCTCAGTGGTTTAGGTATCTGGTTGCAGAACTGGAGGTTGTGAGTTTGATTCCCCAATGTGCCTCCTTGACAGGGGCTGGACTTGATGATCCATAAAGTCCCTTCCAGCTCTGCAGTTGTTCTGATGATGATTACCTCCTCCAGTAGGCTGGATCCAAGTCCAGGCTATGAACAGAAAGAGCTCCGAACAAAAGGTATGGAATAACTATTCAGCTCCAGCTGTGTTGTTGCTACATATTTGTTTAAGGATTAAGAACTTTTATTCAGATAGCACAAAACCAGCTAACAGCAGACATCTAAACTTGACTATTCACTACACAATCTGATGAATTTAGTAACAATCCCAGATTGGCAAGCACATCATTGCACTGTAAAATTCATTCACTGGATGAAAATAATTTATGAAAAATGAAAACATGTCACCTACATTTAATGACTCAGCAAAACTAGATCTGTGGATGATATTATGGAAAGCTACAGAAATAAAACAGTATACATACCTGCCCCTTAGCTATTAGATAAGCAACAATTGAGGTATGTCCAAATTGGGCTGCCAAGTGAATACAACTGCATCCTTCTCCATCAATTAATGAAGGATCTGCACCATATTTCATTAGTTGTACAACCATCGATAAATGACCCTGTCTATAATAAGAAGAATAGAAGACAGAGAAAGTTGTTTATTACTTAGATTGCTTTTCACATAATTCCAGATACACATGAAGCATAGGAAGCAAAGATACATCTACAGAGGTGCCCTGTTAGATGATTACCTTGCAAAACGGTTTATTCGCTAGACGATGAGTTTTTTGCGATCACTATGGCGCTTCATAAAATGGTGTTTCCTATGGGTGATTTTCGCTGGACGATGTTTCGGTCTGTGCTTCGCAAGACGGGTTTTTTTTCCGAGACCGTTTTTCGCAAGATGACGATTTTGACAGCTAGGTCCACAACTTGCAAAACGGGTGTTTTGGGGACCAATTTTCATAAGACAGCAATTTCTGATAGCTGATCTGCGCTTTGCAAAACAGTTTCTCTATGGGCGATTTTCGCAAAATGATGACGATTTTTCCCCATTAGAACGCATTAAACGGATTTCAATGCATTCCAATGGGGAACCACATTTTGCAAGATGATGTTTTTGCAAAACAGTGATTTTTGTGGAACAAATTAACATAGTCTTGCGAGGCACCACTGTAATCAGATCTTTTTCTGCATCAGCTTTCCAACTAGAGCCTCTGCCCTATGGAAGAAGAATAAGAGTGCCCCACAAGTAGATCACAAATGTATGCTCTCCCCTCCGCACCATTTCTTGCTTGGTGTTAGGTAACGTATTTTTTGCTCCATAAGACACACTTCCCCCCAAAAAATGTGGGTGGGGGGGGAGTCCATGCATCTTATGGAGCGGAGGCAGCAATTTTGTCCCCGCTGGCCCCGTGGGAGGGAGCGTCGCAAGGGTCCGGGTGAGCCTTCCAGGACTCTTGCAATGCTCTCCACACCCACCACGGGGCCAGCGCCGGCGAAATCGCCAGTATCTGGGAGTCTTTTGAGGCTTCCCAAGCCTCAAAAGACTCTCAGAAACTGGCGATTTCACCCCCCCTGGCCCCATGGAGGGGTGGGGGGAGCATCGCAAGGGTCCGAGTGAGCCTTCCAGGACCATTGCAACGCTCCCCCCAACCCCCCACGGGGCCAGCGCAGGCGAAATTGCCACCTTCTGGGACTCTTTTGAGGCTTGGGAAGCTTCAGAAGAGTCCCTGAAGGTGGCGATTTCGCTCCCTCTGGCCCCGCGGGGGGGCAGGGTGAGCCTCCAAAGGGTCCTAGGGTGTGTTCCATAAGACAGACCTCTCCATAAGACTCACAAAATTTTTAGGAGAAGAAAACAGGAGAAAAATAATCTGGGAATTTTGGCCTGCTGGGCCAGCGGGGGTAAGGATGGGGGAAGCCTCCAAAGGGTCCGAGAGTGCCTTCCAGGACCCTTCAGAAGGGCCTTCAGAAGGACCCCTCTGAAGGGCCCTGGAACCTCTGTTTAGAAGCTTCCGTATACTATCTTATCCCTCTTTCCATCCAGCTTTTATTAAATCCCCATAGGGACGTCTGACACTCTTGAACAGTTTCTCTATGGACTCAAAACTGCATCCCAATTTGAAAATGAAAACACAGTATTAGCATTCAGATTCTGTCCCTTGGATTTAACCTTCACAGTGAGGTAAAATGAGGGCCAGAGGCTCAGACTTGTAAACACCGGGCCCTCTGGCTGGTAATTACATGCCCCCTAATCAATTTATACTCATGGGGAAAGGAGAAGAGGCCCATTTTAACAAATGTGATTGAATCATGAAAGGTCATTTTAAATGTGGAATATGAGGTGCTCGTGCACAGTGTTCTATTTTTAAAAATAACAAAAAATGTAATAAGGAGCATTTGGATTGTGAGCAGCATTACATTCATTCCAATGTAGTTACATTAAAATTAATAGAGCTAACCTAGAGTATCTGATTTTTTAAAAGCAGGGGGTGAAATTGCCACCTTCTGGGACTCTTTTGCGGCTTGGGAAGCTTCAGAAGAGTCCCAGAATCTCGCGATTTTGCCCCCTCTGACCCCTGGGGGGCAGGGTGAGTCTCTAAAGGGTCCTGGAACACACCCTAGGACCCTTTGGAGG